GGGGGGTCTGTTTGAGGAAGGTAAATCTTATAATTCAAGAGGTGCATTTTATCAAGTTGAAATTGTCTTTATTGTTTTTGGTGAGGAAGCATTCCCTAACAACTAAGGATTTGGTAAAACAACTTCTTGCTCTCTGTAATTTGCCTCTAACACTCAGTTGGTGTCAATGGCAAATAAATAGTTCATTCTTAACCTCTACTTCATTTTTTCAAATAGAAGGAACAATGGCCATATTTGAGGAGGACCATCTCTTTGTACTGAGATTCACAAGAGTTCAACTGGGAGTCCTGATGCAGGATATTGATATATTACATATCTTTCTATTATTTCCTTTAGGAAACTGACTGAGATTTTAATATGGGGTTTCTATTCATCACATTTGCGTGTGTGTGTGTGTGTGTGTGTGTGTGTGTGTATGTGTATCTTAGTATAATGGTGACCAAAATGCCATTGAAAAAGGGCATTTATTGCAATGGAATCAGAAAATGGTTATTAAAACTAGTTGTGAGCATATAATAGGCTTCCAGTGACTTGAAAAATAACATCAATCACACATGATGAGAAATAATTCTGTTCCCTTTGGTAGTAAATATAGAAAGTATGACTTTGTCACTTAATCATGTAGACTAGGGAAAATTAATAATCTTATTTGAACTTTATATTCCTCATTGGAAAAACATATGGATATCAATTATGTTCTGCCACATAGTGTGGGTATTTTGAAAATTGTGAAGTATTATGTAATTATTAGAGACTCCAAAAACTTATCAGTTGATGATACTGATGATCATAAGAAATGGTTCTATATGTTCATGTCTATTTAAAAATGTTTAATATGTAGCATATAGAACAATATTGTGTGTTGATTCTTATAACATCATAGGATGGATCAAAAATCTCATTTTTCTAATTATAAGAATACAAAATGAGGGTGCCACATGCTTCAACCAGTTGTAATTTGGTGAGTTAGAATCATAGAGGGATTAGACTTCAGGATTTCATTGCATTGCAAATAAGACCTTTTCAAAACTCCTGAGAATTACTGTCCTTGAAAGTGGAATTGTCCAAGGAACAAAGTCAAAACATAAATTTTAACAGCTAGTAGATGCAGGAGTTGAGATTAAGAGCACTTGTTCAGCTGTGCTTTCATATGACTTGTAAAAGTATTCTACATAGAAATATTTAACAATATTATCTGGATTTTACACATTACATGAATGAGGCTCAGAGAGATTAAATGACTTATCCAAGGTCATATAACCAATGAGTGTTAAAGGTAAAACTAGAATGAAGTACATCAGATTCATAGTTCCAACTCTGAATTTCATTTCACACTGTAGACTGCTGAGCCATAGAACTTAGTTTCCTAATTGTATTCTTAATATTATTCCATAATAAGCAATTTCTGACAGAAATATTTACTAACTATACATATTTACTTATTTTAATTTGTTTAAGCATCACTTTGGGGTATATATTTAAAATTCTCTCTTAGTGACCATCATACCATTGTGATTTTTGTTATTATCACTGAGTATATGGGGATACAATGGTAGACCAAATGATTTGCTATCCCTGTCCACTGCAAAGCTCATTATCTATGCAAAGAATCATGGGCATGTATACATGCAATGGTGATGTACTCCATGAATCAGAGTTGCAGAATATGAAGACAGTCTATAATAGAGTTGATAGAATAATATATCAGGAAAAGCCTTATTGAGGAAATAATACTTGAGCAGAGATTTAAAAAATAAGCTGGTGTTGATCAGAAAAAGATGGCAAGCCTTAACACTCCATGGGATTATGCAACATAGAAAGCATAAGAGACTAAAAAAAGACCAATATAGTCAGAGGGAAAGGAAATAGATGAATAGCGGGTAAGACAAGGGAGAACATAAACATGGACCTGGCCACATAAGACTTTTAGGTCATATTAAGTAGTTTCCTTGTTATATTCAAAGATAAATGGAGATCCATAGTATTAACTATGGACTGTGACATAATCAGATTCTGATTTTGAATAATCATTCTGATTGCAGTAAATAGAATGGGTGGAAGAGGGTCAGCTGTTGGTCCATGCCAACTAGTAAGATGACTATTACAGCAGTATAGGTAATAGATAAGATATCCCAACTGGGGTTATGGGGGAATTAGATGCAGAAAAGTGGACATACATGACATATATTGGGGAGATAAAATCAATTGGGCTTGCTGAAGAACTGGATATGGGGTGTGACACATAGGGAGACTCAGAGTTGCTACCTTGGCTATTGGTTGCTGCCAGTGAAACAGGTACAGTAGAATAGGATTAGGATTTGGAAGAATTATCATGAGTCTGGTTTTGATATGAAGAGTTTAAGGAGATTTTGAGATACCCAACAAGAATTTTTTAGGAAGCAGTTGGATAAATAGATCTGGATAGAAATATATATCTCTGGTTCATCTTCATAAAAGACAATAGAAATTATATTATTATCTAAGAGAGAGTAGAGTGAAAAGAAGAGAAGGTCTAGAATATATCCTTCAGGAAACCCAACTTTTATAGGCTAGATAGAAAGGATATGCCTGCCAAGGAGATAGAATAGGAGGCAAACTAGGAGTTCACTGTGTCACAAATGGGATGTACTTCAAGAAGGAGGAAGAGACTAATGACATTAGGTACCAAGGAAATGTCAAATAAGATGAGAACAGAAGAATATCCTTTGGCCTCAGTTATAAGGAATTCATTGGCAGACTTAATGAGAGCTGTTTCTGTGTATTGAAAGGGCTGGAATCCAAATTGAGGAAAGATGAGAAAAGGAGGAGGCCAGACTAGATCCTCTCTAAAGTCCCTTCCAACTCTAAAATAATATAATGCTGTGATTTCATGCTGCTAGCCAGAGTCTTCCTTTGTCACAAGTTTCCCAGTTCCTGCTTAATAACATGGCTCTGTTGTTGAAAGAGATTGATTCAAAAAGAATGTATTACTTTAAGCATCTTTAAAATCTTAAATTTGGGATGAATCATTTTTTCTTCATTTACATCTATATTTTCTTTTGGAAAGAATATTGAGCACAAAAAAATCTTGTGTGATTTTTCCATATAGCACACTAATTGAAGAAATATATTTCCAGGAATTTGTTTAACTTTTTTGGTCAGGACGGCAGGGATAAAACCAGGTTTAAAGTTTCCATGTGAATGAATTTGGAAGCGAACAGATTTGAAGCTGTAGTTCAGGGATGTCTCATAGTAGACCATACTGTTTTTCTTTTAAATTGAATCTCTTTTTCTAGACACTGAGAGTTAAGAAACACATCCAAAGAACTGATTTTGTATGTAAGCAGAATGCTAGGGCTGCTGCATTTCATCTAAAAAGAGGTTCCAATATTCTGTCTTGGTGACATAGAAATCTGGTGAAAGGGCATACACACCTTTGTTATTCAAAGTGTGACCTGTGAACTTGCAGCATCAACTTGAGCTAAAAACTTGTAAGAAATACAGAACTCAGGTCCCAAGGCAGATCTATTGTATCAGAATTTGCATTTCAATAGGATCTTCAGGTGATTTATATTAACATTAAAAGGTGAAAATAACTTGCATTTTCCCTCAGAATTTACTTTTTAGAAACATAGAATTCTTTGTTACTCTGCTAGGATGTTATAAATTGATCCAAGGACAAGTTAGTCATTTATGGACTAAAAAGTAATTATATTATTTTGTTTTAAAATTAAGTCTTCTGGTGGAAGGCCAGAGTGACTAAGGTGACAAAAATTAAGTTCCTCACCCAACTCATGGTAGGACATTCATTTTTTCTTTCCCCCTTTCCAAAAGCTCAGTTGAATTATCTATCCTTCTTCTTGTACTTAATTATAAAATTTGTAAATTTAATTTGTAGTAGCAAGGTTAATTCTTATGCTTTCCTACAGGATTTACAAACTTTTGTTATTTTCAGTCTCTAGCATAGAAGAAAACCTACACTTCATTACATGACCTCCTTCCTGGTGATTAACATGTGGAATGGACAGATGAAACTAAAGCCCCCCGTCAGAGTCTCAGTCTCTCTCTCTCTCTCTCTCTCTCTCTCTCTCTCTCTCTCTC